GCAAATACGAAAAAATGGCATCATAGTGGTCATCCAACATGTAAAAAGCCAACGTCGAAAGTGGCAGTAGGTACTCTTCTTCTTTTACCGTTCTATCTCCTTTAATTTATAATAGCGCGAATGACCATCTTAGTAATACATAATTTCTTTTTATAAAGATAAAAAACTCTTTTATGTTAGTATAGAATCCTTCAGAAATAAATCTGTTGCATAACGGTCATGAGAATAGAATTAGTCTTTCTGAATGACCTTCTCATCTTTACTTATAAACCAGCTGGCGAACCCGGCTACTTCCGACTGAATACATTCTAGGCTCACAGTTTTTTAAATCGTCATATGGTAGCTAGCAGTCTCAGAAGATATCACAATGTTACTCTACATTTTCTGAGCATAACATCTTTTCGTTGTCACGATCCCAAAGGACAATCCCAAGAATAGTAACTCTTGCCTAACGGCCATTATTCAGTTCGTAAAACATCATGAGAGCATAATATGCTATCACCTATTTGAGCTTCTCTGACGAACATATGTTTGTTATCAGTAATAAATGCATAAAAGTTTTGCCAAATGAATATGAATAACATGACTGTTTTGTTAGCGTCAGTTATAGGGATACGTATGCACGCTATACAGTCAGTCTCTCGGAAATTTATGAAAAACCGGGCTGCTGCTGGCGTTACCTAAACATTGCAAACCTCTTATTACCTTTTTACGTAAAAGTTCCGCTTCCAGTGATGTAAAATCTTATCTAGGATGTGCATACCGAGCGCAGATGTTTTCAAGAAATTTGAAAGCCTCTCTGGTCTGTGTTGCACGCCCTCTAAAGAATTGTCGTCTAGTCTGAGCAGTTATTCGAATCGACGTCTCCTGCAACCTTGGTAAATGGGTTTGCATTGCAACTAAAACACAATCGCTTCGCAGAGCAAGTTTTTGTGTGTTTACAGATCTGTGAGAATAGTGACAATTGTATTTTATGTTCATTTTCAGAAAATCAATTGATTTGGCAACCAAAAAATGCTGAATCAACGAAACCAAACGGTTACTACCGTAAAGCTAGCCTATATCACCTGCCTGATCCCAAAATCTAGGTGTGCAAAAGTCTGGATCTTATCGGCTGCGAACAAAATAAAATTCCCGAAATATATAAACATACATGCAAACATACTTTCTACTTTATGAAACAAATAAGAAAGGGTAAATAAGCGCACCATGTCTACTGTAAGCTTAGCCTGCGGCAGAACGATGTAACAAGAAGTTACTATCTATATTATGCAAAAGAGTATTTGAGATTTCAGACAGTTTTTGGCCATACTTTTTGCCTGCTCGGCATTATTCGCCATAAGGTTGCATGAAGGATGTAGTGATTTTATTCGCTAAAAATTTGTAAAGACTTAAACTCTAGTATGTGCGATTTTACTGAGTTAAATTACTGATTTGAACAAGGCTTTGATTTTCACAAATTTCATTCCTGAAACACAAAGTAGTAGAACGCCCAGGAAAATCCTCTTATATATGCTCTGTAATAAAGTAGGTTAGCTACCACTTATACAATTATCTTTGATTGATGTTGCTTCCAATTCCGTTTTAATTTATAAGTTTGATTTTTGAAAAATTGAAAACGTCAAAATGTCTTGGGAATCGCGACTTATTTCGGAGTTATGCTAAAATGTTGCTTGAATTTGTGTTCAGTAATCTTTGAAACAGGAGCATTTTGCCAAAATTAATCAGAAATTTAGCTTGAAAATCAATTTTCAAACTCTTTATGACGCATCGTTGGAGATCTTTGAGCTTGAGTGGAGTTCCATTCTAGTCACCACACTGATCATTTAAGCCTTTAAAAACATCTGCTTAGTCGCTGACTGGTCTACACAACTGGTGCTGTTTCAAAGTACCAATCCAATTCCAAATGACTGGAAAGATTATTGTAACTAGGACCGAGTAGCGGAGTATAAAAGTGGTCATATGAAGGGCGGATTTTGTACAATCATTATGGTTCGGTAGTGGATTTTCGTGCGAGCGCTGGATTTCGACTTCTAGCGAAGGAAATTGACTAGAGGGTAAAGTATAATCACTCTGCAACTGCGTTTGATTTCTTTTTGAGGTATATCCATTTTCCTCCTCTTTTTGCTTCTTTTACTTTCTTCTCACTTATGCAAAGGTCAACATTTTTCCATCGTTGTTTTAGCTGCTCTGGACTTTAATCGTTTGAGTTACTCCTGATAAAGTGAAAGTTTAAGAAATTTTTGTTAACACCTTTTCTTATAGTAAATTGAGCGAACAAGCTTTCGTTTATCGCGGAGATGTTTCGGTAATGGAAAAATTTCCAGAAAACTCCTTTAGAGCTGTAACTATACATATGTACTGTCAAGTCTTGCAATTGTTTATCGCTATCGATGCCTGCAGACAAGTAGACTGTCTTTAGAATGAAATGCTGCATTATTTCACATTGTCAATGCTATATCTCCATATATTGCTTGCTGCTAATTTGCCGAAATTATCATTGTAATTACCATATATTATTTGCAGTTCTGAGCAGATGACGTCAATCTCGATAAACTTGCTTTCCTTAGCGCTATGCTTGTCGTCGGGATTCCAACAAGGATACATAGCTTCCGTTCTCAATCAGCCGTATCTCCAAATTGAAAACTATATAAATGCGTCATGGATTGAAAGAACGGACAAACCATTGCAAGCGGATCTCCTGGTGATTACGATGCGCAACAATTTTTAAATTTAGCGTTCATCTTTTCTAGAACGTACTATGGTCCCTTTTGAACGTCTGTTTCCCAATAGCAACTATTTTTGGGCAAATCCTTGCAGCATTCTTGTGCAAGAAAATTGGACGAAAAGGAACTGCCCTTTTGGCAAGTTCCATCTACATTCCAGGTGTACTGCTCTGTGCAGCATCAAAGTACTTACATCCGTACTTTGAACTCCTTTATTTAGGACGAATACTCTGGTAAAGTTCATTCTTTTTCCTCTTTTTTTT